TAACACTGCCAGCGCCTCGGCACAGGACACACTGCAGGGGCACTTGGTGGAGTCTCTCCGTCCGTTCTGTGCACAAGTCAGTCCAGCACCTACGCTGGCCTGAATTCCTTGGTTAAAAGCCTTATCTCCGCTCTGTGCTCACCCTGCAGGCCCACCCTCAGCCTCTGGGGACGGGAGGTGTAGGGTCCAGGTGAGTAACCCGCGAGGAGTCTGATGAGTTGTGCACAGTATTTCATTACGTCCAGCCTGTGAGGAGAGGGGACTTTGTCTGAGAGGTGGGCATGGAGGCCTCCCAAGCAGCCTGGTGCTTGCTGGCACCTCCTGCCCACCCGCCGGGCCGCCTGTGTCTGTCCTTAGCCCGGCTACACGGTGGGTGGTGGGGGTGGAGGATGAGCTGTCTTTAGGGGAGGGTGGCAGCGCGCTTGGGCAGGGCAGGGCCAGGAGCTGGGTATAAATAGCCCCTGCCCAGCTGGGAAGGCCTGGCAGTGCCCTCTGCCCTCCCCCTCACCAGCTGCCAGCGCCAGGCGGGCCCCTAGCTCCCTTGGGAGCCTTGCCATTGTCTCAGGTCCTGACTGTAGGAACTTCCTCAGCGGAACCGAGGAGTCTTGTTCTGTGTGGAGGTGGAACCTCCGGATGCCTGGAGGCCTGGGGAGTGGGGGTGAGGCTGCAAGATGGGGGTGAGCAGACTGGCCCGGGGAAGGGCTTGCTCCTTCATCCCCCCTTCCCTTGAGAATCAGCATGTTCCTACCATGTGCCTGGCTATTTGGTAGACCAAATGTGCTCACGTCTGTGTGTGTGTGCACGTGCGTGTGCATGTGTGTGTGTGCGTGCATGTGTGCGTGTGCGTGTGTTATGGAGATGTTGAGGGAGAATGGAAACACAGCCTCCAGTCTCAAGAAACTTACACTAGCGCAGCCAGAGGGAATGGGAAACAAATCAGCACCCTGAGACAAGAAGGTTGGGAAAAGGTAGAGGCAAAATCCAGAGGAGAGGCTACTTTTGTGTGGAGCCCACGAAAGTCTTTGGAATGGAGGGACCCCAGACTGGGAGGCTGAAGGATGGGTAAGATGCTTGCCGGGCACGGGCCGTGGGCAGGCGCTCCAGGGGGAGGGCTCAGGGTGTGCGAAGGCAGGTGGGCATGGAACAGCCGGGCTGCCAGCCACTCACAACGGCCGGGACAAATTGAATCAAAGCCAGTCACACTCACTTTGGTGCAAAGAATTGAGGAGAGCGAGGCTCCCTCTCTGTGTGACCTCCCCGACGCGATCGTGCCCTTCAGTAACGGGGACAAGGAGCTGTGAGTTCAATTAGCCCGAGTCTGTGGTGGTGGAATCGCAGACAGGAGTCCCGTGTGGACAGCTGGCTGAGTCAGGGGTGGCAGGGCACGTCTGGGAGAGGGCAGCCATCCTGCGGAAATCAATCCCACGGCCACAGCCTCGTTAGCCCAGCACCAGCCCGTGGAGCTAACCCGCGCCCCAGAGGCCCTGGCTAATTACTGGCAGGATGTCCAGATCGGAGCTGACACCTTGAATGGAGCTTAGTGGGAACATCGTTATGCCCTCCCTTGCCCTCTGGGTCACCTTTACCGGGCAGCCAGATCGCATGCCTGCTTAGCCACCCCAGTGAGAACTGAACTGCCGGGCAAGGGGCCAGCTTTGCGCTGTTCCAAGCATCCTTCCAAGAGATGGATGGGAAGGGGCCCTGGCCATGCAATGTGTTCTCTGAAGTCAGGGGTGGGAGGAATGAAGTCCATGACCGGCCAGGGACAGACCAAGTGCTGGGGACAGCCCCCGAACACATGGTGACCACAACGAACACTGCGCTCTCTACGTGCCCAGGGTTTCATACGGCCGATGCGTCCCACTGTGTTTACTTTACAAATGAAGGCACGGAGGCACCGAGAGTTCAAGTAAATCGCTAGAGATCACCAGCCAGGAAATGGCAGAGCTGGATTCGAACCAAGGCAGCCTGGCTCCCAGCGACACAATCGGTTGGATCGGGGCAGCACGAAGGAGACGGGGTTTGGGGGGGCGAGGGAAATGAACTCATCGTCTCTGAGTCTGGGCGTTATTCTCAGAGGACATTGCACTGGGAGTCAGACAAACCCAGGGTCTGAATTCTGGCAACTTCCTTCTGTAAGTCACCCGACTTCTCTGAGCCTCAGTTTCCTCATCTGTAAAATGGGACGACAGCACCACCTCATAGAACTATTGTGAGGATTAAGCGAGAGAAGTGCCTGGCATGTAAGTGCTCAATAGGTGATTGCCATTATTATCGCTAGTGTTGAATATGAAAATCCACATGGGCTGTAGGAAGGACTCAGCCAGCAAGGGCTTGGTGACTCCTTGGGGAGTGAAAGGGACCATGGCATCTCCGAGCGATGCCAGTTCCAGTGCCCAGTGCTGGGGTTCTGCTGGCCTGGGCAGGCTGCCTAGGACCCTGTGGGAGTGAAACCAGGAAGCAGGGAGCCCCTTGGAAGGTTGGGGTGAGGACCAGCCTCACCAACTGGAAATGAAGCGCCAGCAGGGACTTCCCCACCCCTCAGCCCCACTTCTGTGCAGTGGTAGCCAGCTAACCAGGCTCCATACATCTGGGTATATGGCCTGGGGCAAGTCACTTCTCTCTGGGGTCTCTGCTTTCTCATCTGTACAATGGGCTTCACCCTCTCCTCGGGCTTCTCTCGTAGGTTCTGGTTCTGATCCAGGCTCAGCCTCCCACTTGGTTTGAGGGTACCCAGGCCTGCAGAGGTGCCGACAGGTGCAAGGCAAAGGCTGGGAGAAGGAGGAGGAAGAAAAGTAATGGGGGGAGGAGGAGGAAGGATCCCTGAGTGCCCCTCGGGCCCCGCTTTCATCTCTCTGGGTAAAGGCAGGCTGGAGCCTTGGGAACCCGGCGTGGCTGGTGAGCAGACCAATAAATGGGGAGTGACGCTGGGCAACTCTCCTGGTGCCAGAGGTGATGTCGGACAGGCCGGCCCAGGTTAGAGTGTGCAGAGGGGATGGGAGGCCAGACTCATGGGGAGCGTGGGCACTGCAGGGCCAGTCCACACCTCCAGGGACAGGCAGGGACCGAGGCACCTGTGGGGGGAGACCGGGGAGTACTCTGGCCAAAGAGGAGGGACATCGAGGCTGGGAATTGGGTGCCAGGTCTCCCTGTGCTGCTCTGAGATAGAGACTGGCCAGGCCACGGGGAGGGGCGGGCAAATCACCGCCATACCCATGACCAAACAGCTGTGGCCATGGGTGGCAGCGCCCTCTATCCTGCCTCAGCCTCCCTCTCCAGCTGTCCCCAGGTAGGGCTTTGGGTCCTAAGGGGGAGGGGGAAAGGCCTGGGCTTCTTCCCAGGGGGTCTTGCTCCGGAGCCTCCCTCAGGATGTCGCTCTGCTGAGCCACCTGCGCCGAACCCTGGCTCAGTTATCCTCCCCAGTGATTGCAGGGCTGCTGGGCCAGGGCTGGACGCGCTGGTTAAATGCACACGGAGAGGCAGCCTGAGCTGGGGGGGAGGCTCGACTCTCACACTCTGCAGATGGGCAGCTGACTTAGCTCCCTGGCCTCCGGTTTCCTCATCTATGAAACAGGACGATGACAACGTGAGGATTACATAATGGGAACAGTCAGAACCGGCCCAGCACATAATAAGCAGCAGGGATTCGTTCGCCGCTGTTAGCACACTAACCTGCTTATAACTATAAACAAGGCAGGGCAGGAGAGGACAACCTACAGGGCCTTGTCCGGTGCTGTGGGCATGTGCCCATCAGAGGCCTCTGGGCTGACCCGCTCCATTCCACCCAGGCGTGGATGGGCTCAGTGTTGAGGCCCAGGGTGCATTGGGGCAGGCCCGCAGCCACCCCACCCCTGGGGACCGAGGCAGGCATTGCCCAGAAGGAAGGGTGGCACAACTGGATTGTCCCATGGGCACTGGAGTCGGAAGGCATGGGGTCCAGTGAGCAACTCCTTAGCAGTTCTGTGGCCTGGGCTCGGTTCTCCACCTGCAAGGCTGAGCCATCTGACACGGGGCTGCTATGACCGCCCCTCCTCTGTCACAGGGTGATTATCAGGGTTCAGTCAGGCAGAGCCAAGGAAAAGACTCGGCCCAGTGCCCTGCACAGAGGAGTTTAGGAATAGCCATTCTCTGTGGTCAGTCTGCCCTGTTGGCCACCCTCCCTTCTCTTTAAAAGAGCTTGATGTTCAAGATCTAGAAATGTCTCATAAATGTTACCATCCAAACTCCAGACCTGGTTCCCCAGTCCCGCTCCCAGAATTAATTAAAAAACAGTGAAGTGGGGGCCGCCTCTTCCCTCTGAAAACAGCCCAGAGCCAGCCTGAGGAGGATGGGCACCACGCCCCTCCATGGTGCCCATCACGAGCCCATGGTAAGAGCTCTTAAATGGCCGGCGCTTGGTTCATTTTTTGTGGTATTTCCTGATCAGCCCGGGGTCTTCTGCACCCTCTTCCCAAGGCATCCACTATCCCTTTGTGTGTCAACTCCCTGTGGGGACGGAGGCTCCCCTGCTTTTTCTGAGCTGGGGCTGGGGGTCCTCCTTCTATTAGGTTTGGTTCCTTCCCATGGGTCATCGACAGTCTCATGTGGCCCCCAAAACCTAGACTCCCTGGGAGGTGGCCCCGACCAATCCTTTCAATGCCCCTCAGGGAAACTAGTCCCGAGCCTGGGAGGGACTTGACCTGGGGCCCCAATACCATCCTCCCAGTCCCTGGCTCATTCATGGAATCGCAGTGTCCCCAAGGGTGCCCACTGGAGGTTTCTGCTGGCCCCCATGGCCCCTGCACGTTGGAGATGTCCACGCCAGAGGGCTGACCTGGCCTGGATCAGAGCCCTGCCCACCGAGGGCAGCATTCGGGTGCCGGGTTTCCCGGGGCCTGGGCTCAGGCTCACGGGCCCTGTGCTGCTCTACCTACCCTGGAGGGCTACTGAGGAAGAAACGATGCCCGTGATGGGCTCTGTGCTTTGTGCCTGCAGTGCCACTGTCCTCCGTGTGCCCACAGGTCCCTGGCCCTGGGCCAGCAGTACACGTCCCTGGGCTCCCAGCCTCTGCTCTGCGGCTCCATCCCAGGCCTGGTCCCCAAGCAACTGCGCTTCTGTCGCAATTACATCGAGATCATGCCCAGCGTGGCGGAGGGCGTGAAGCTGGGCATCCAGGAGTGCCAGCACCAGTTCCGGGGCCGCCGCTGGAACTGCACCACCATAGACGACAGCCTGGCCATCTTTGGGCCCGTCCTTGACAAAGGTATTGTCTCTGGGCCCATTAGGCGGTGGGTGGGGGGTGGGGTGGGGGACACCATTAGGATGAAGTGCCTCTTCCATCTCAGGGTGACTTAGCCCTGAGCCCAGGGTCCCCAGGGGAGAGTGATAAAGCTGGTCACGACCTGGGGCCTCCACAGAAAATGCGTCAGGACCTTCTCTGAACCGACCCAAGCTGTCACCATGGCGGCCACACCTTCCCAGGTGCTGCTGGGGGCTGGGCAGCCTTGAGATGCTCTAGGGTCCCGCCTTCCTTCCCCTCGGCCTCCACTGCGGGCTTAGCTTTGATGTGGACATTTGTGACATTTTCCCAAGGCTGTGTTAAGTGCTATGCAAATGTAGCTTTGGGGTGGGGTAGGGCCGGGGCATTGTCACCCTATACCCCTCCCATTGAGAAAATTCCAGAGCTGAGAAAGCTGCCTGGTACCGGTGGCACTGCACAGCTCCCGCGTGCTTCCGTGAGAACCTTCTGCTGGACCCGCCCCTGCAAGCGGGACATGCCTTTGGACTGTGGAGGGGCCCGAGCCGGTGCTGGCCTCTGGGGGACTGCCCAGCCCCCTTGCAACCTGGGAGTCTAACTGGCTGCACTTCAACTGGCCTTAGAACAGGAGGGCACTGATGGGAGGGATCAGGGACAGCTGCCCCCTAGAAGAAGGGGAGGGACTTCGGGCGGGTGAGTTCTGGCCTGAAGGTGGGCGGCTCTCCGAGAAACTGCAGATCTGGGGATTTAATGCTCCCGGCTGGCCTTGGGGGCCATCACCCCTTTCACAGCAACCTGAATCCTCCCGCCACCAACAAGCCTTTGCCACCCTAACGTGAGCCCGGCCCTCCCTCCTTTTAGGGGAGCTGAATTTACAGCCAGAAAGAAAAGGAATTTAAAAAGAAAGAAAGAAAAGAGAAAAGGAATCTGGAAGCCTGGAGGGTCTTGGGGGGGGGGCGGTGTTGGCAGGGAATTGGGGGAGGGGGCGCTGACCACCCCACCCCATTTCAGAGTGCGGTCCCCCTTAACCTGTGCCTCGGGTTCGCAGAGTCAGTCCGATCCACAGGCTATTGTCGTGGGACCGCAGGGCAATTAGCGAATCAATGGAGGATGATGCTGTTTACGCTTCTGTTACCAAAGCTCATTATTGCTTGTTTACACACAAGGTTTGGCCTCTAATTGGGCCCAGTGGCGGCGGTTTTCATTTCAAACCTGATCGCGCTGGCGTGTCAGTCTGTCCCCCTCCCGGTGCCCCACCTCGGGCCAGGCAGCGCCGGATCACCCGG